TAAGGACCTCGATTCGCTGTTGGTATTATGATATTACCTTCATGTTTATCTTGTAGTGATTAGATGACTAATAAAGATAAGGACCTCGATTCGCTGTTGGTATTATGATATTATTTTCATTGTTTATCTTGTAGTGATTAGATGACTAATAAAGATAAGAACCTCGATTCGCTGTTGGTATTATGATATTATTTTCATTGTTTATCTTGTAGTGATTAGATGACCTCAACGCGCTGTTGGTATCATGAAATTACCTTCATGCGTATCTTGTAGTGATTAGATGACTAATAAAGATAAGGACCTCAACCCGCTGTTGGTATCATGATATTATTTTCATTGTTTATCTTGTAGTGATTAGATGACTAATAAAGATAAGGACCTCAACCCGCTGTTGGTATCATGAAATTATCTTCATGCGTATCTTGTAGTGATTAGATGACTAATAAAAATAAGTACCTCAACCCGCTGTTGGTATCATGATATTATTTTCATTGTTTATCGTGTAGTGATTAGATGACTAATAAAGATAAGGACCTCAACCCGCTGTTGGTATCATGAAATTATCTTCATGCGTATTTTGTAGTGATTAGATGACTAATAAATATAATTTGCAAGAAAAGATTTTTACCTACTTGCTGTTGTCGAGAAGTTGTCACTACGTGGTTACGTGACAATCAAGTGAAATTCACGTTATTCTTTAACGCCGGTCACGTGATTCACTGACAGGAAAGACATTATTACTGTTGATAATTAACTCATATGCTCGTACCGAACTATCTAGTACCAGTTTATTAAACGTTTTTTTACAGTCACTTGTAAACCTAACTATATTTTTTATACAGTTAAAAATCCTAAGAAAATTTCGTACAACTATTTCATCTTTGCTACATCTTATTTCCTTACATTCGTTCAATTATTGGGAGTTCGAGAAAAACTCGAAGTCATATTCACTTGTGAGTAAAAAAATAAGAAATCAAACTGAACATGGCTGTTACCAAGTTATTTCTGGCCTCTAGTCAAATCGAGCAGGACTCGACTTTCTACTGTATGATCATGTTGTGTGTGTATATATATCGACCACCAGGATTATCTGCTCAGATAGCCCTAATCGAATCTCATAAAACTTAGTGGATATATAGGTTCTGAAACTTATCTAGCAGACCTTAGTTCTGTGGAATCGTGACGTTTTGGCGAAGGACCAAAATACGTCAGTCCTGAATGGTCAAGGATAGAAGAAAGCTGGGTTGTGGAAAGCGGATCGACGTCGCATAGGCTTGGGTGTCCAGACAAACCCCTGTTTGGGTTTAGGTGTCCAGGCAAACAACTGAATAGCCAGAGCCGGTCTCCAATAAACATAGGACGAGTTGTAAACATTCCTAAGGACTGGTAATAGTGCTGGGCTAAAACTTCCAGGTCGTTTGTGTACATGCGTTTCCACTTTGTCCTTCTGTTCTGGAACCAGATTTTAATCTGAAAATGACAAGGTTAGTTTCAGCCGACTGATTTCCAAAGCCAATAAAATAAGGTAGTATTTTTTCTCTCTCTTCCATGCAAAACGCGAATAGTCTGACAGATAAAAATGAAATCTAGTTTTTTTTGTTTTTTTTGGTTTAACAGTTAAGAACAATAAAATACGTTCAGATTTAGAATGTATCCACTTGTGTCCAATTATATGTTTGACGTGCCCTCCCCACCAATCCAGACCCGAAAGTGAACGTCATTTGTTCTCATTGAGTATCTGAAGCGTCCAACACTGCTCACGTGACAACATTCAGAAAGTCTCTAAGAATGATACATAAGTAATAATATGATACTTTTCTCTTCGGAGAATAACTGTAGACTATATTGTCCATAAAAACAAGTCTATTGACTAGTATTAATTTATATAAAACTTATCTGTAGAAATATAGACTTTAATACAAAGGACACAGTATTATGAAATTATGACTAAGGTAAATAAAATGTTCATACATTTAAAATTAACTTTTAAGTACAGTCTTGGCCAAAATGTTTGCATACTGTTCTATGTTGATGTTATTGTTTACATGTATGGATTTGTTTTGTTTTGGGTCCGGTATGGCCAGGTGGTTAGGGCACTCGACTCGCAATCTGAGGGTCGCGGGTTCGAATCCCTGTCACACCAAACATGCTCGCTCTTTCAGCCGTGGGGGCGTTATAATGTGACGGTCAATCCCACTATTCGTTGGTAAAAGAGTAGCCCAAGAGTTGGCGGTGGGTGGTGATGACTAGCTGCCTT